GCAGATTTGTGCAACATGCATGCTATCAACTTCGTGAATATGTTCAGGCGCGTGTTGCAGTTTCTGATCCCTTGTATGAGATGATCAAGAAGGAAGAGTTTGAACGCCAATATAATTTCACAGTTTTTGGAGGCGATTTCTTGCTCTCGTGTTGTAGTTGAGCCTGCAAGTTCAGGGACGTTTGAGCCATCATCGAAGCTGAACTTAAAGGTACTACAAAACATCCTGAAGGGTATCTTCAAGATCCAGAAGGAGGAGGAGCTTGCAAGAGAACGTGAGGAAGAAGAAGAACAGGCAGCTCAAAACATCTCAAACTTGATGGCAGATGATATGGAGCTTGATTTTGATGATGACGATGTGCCAGTATGGCGCTCCATTGTCAACAAGTATAGAGAAGGTGATCAGGTGTTACAGGGAGAAGCAGTGAAGATTACTCATCTTTTTAAGGATAAAAAGGTCAATGAGAAGGCAACTGAGTTTTTCAGTTCAGAGAGGACAGATTATTTTGAGACCTCAGAATCTCTTCCAAGAACCATGGGAGAAAATCTTGTAGAGGACTTGCTCACCAAGGATGTCGCAGAACAAGCTTTTGAGGCAGGTGAAGAAGTTCCTCCTTACACAAGAGTCTCCACTATCACTGGTGAGATCTTTACTGGTAGTATGAAGATTATGGAAGGTGAAGATATGGAAGAGGAAGTCCATGAAGAAGATCCTGCAGTTGAACTCGTAAAAGACGAAGAAGTTTTTGATGAGAATGCAGGTGTTTTTCCTTCAGAGGACACAAAGATGGAAGTGGACCAGGAGGAAGCCAAGGATGAGTCAGCATCACACTTTCTGTCAAGAGAGATAGGTGAGGACTCAGCTGCATCGCACTTACCATCAGGTGAGAATGATGCTAACCTTGATGATACTTCAAGTCTGCGGAAATCTAAGAAAAGCCGCCTAAATAAAATTCCTGATCCTCATTTTCATGAAGAAGTTCAGGATGATGCAACCTTTGAGGAGAAGAAAAAGGCGGTGGAGAAGATAAGAGAGGTCAGAGAGGATGATGGAGAGAAGAAATTGGAGGCTGAAATCCAAGAATCTTTTCCATCTGAAGTAGTTGTTGATACAGATACAGTGGATGTTGACAATACCTATGAGTTGCATACTTCACCTTTGAGGTTGTTTGGAGAGCTTACAGGAGATCCAGGTATTGGCTTTTATCAACAATGCTTCAGGGAAACTCACGCGAGATTGTTGAACCATGTTTGTTTCAGAAAAGGTAAGATTTCCCATCCTCACTATCAGTCAATGATCATCGAGGACGACTTTGTTCGATCCATTCGAAAGATCTGTCCAGTACCTCCACCTGATTGTTATGAGGACAGCTCAGAGCATGATTTGAAGAGATTTTTCATCAATGATGACCGCGTCATTTATTTGGATGACAAGTATCAGGTCGATCCCAGGACCCTTGAAAGGGCAGAACAAGCTCGAGCAGATTTGGAGGTTACAAAGAAACAATTTAGAGAAGAACTGGAAGAATATGGTCCCAAGGGACTCAGTTGGGACTATGTCACCTTCTATGAAGAGCTGCGCAAAAGGTTCCTCAAAGGAAGAATAGAAGAACAATATGAAACTAACTTATTGGCCAGCTCAGAGTCCTTGACATTTTTATCCTGGAACTATGGCAACATGGTTCGTGGTCAGAAATACACCACACCAAAGTTTCTCCAAGGACTTGATCGTGCAATGAAGCCACGCAAACAGAGTGACATGTCACTTCAATATGAGCAATTTGAAAACAACCTTTTCTTCAACATGCTCTTCTTTTTACGTGCACATGTCGTGATTCTCCAGGAAGCTCATCTCCTTGTTCCTGCCAAGGATTTTATTGAGCAAAAGAATTGGACAGTTTGTTTCAATGATTGGGAGAATCTTGCAGTGATGGCTAGATTGGCACCAGGTGGATATGTCAAGGTCATTGCTGGACATGACCAAGACCTTGGTCACTGTCCACAGCGTGATGTAACTTGGGCTATCTATGAGATTTGTTTTGGAGAAACAAGGCCTCGTCAAGAATTCAAGGATGCAGACTTTGAATTTGAGGACTATGGTCCTAAGGACCAGCGTGTTCCACTTACTCGAGCGAACATGCATACCATCAGAGTCTGTAATTATCATGTTGACACACACCGTGCTGTGGATGCCCACCTATTGACAGGAGAACAGACAGCATTGATGCTTTATGAGTGTTTTGTATATGAGGTGGACATCATTTCTGGTGATGCAAATAGTTTGGCCTACAGAATGTCTGGATACAAAAGGCAGCCAATGGCTAACTATTATTACAGCACCATGCAGCATTGGATCCGCAGGTTTTCAGAAGCCCGTGTAAAAGCAGATCCTGGTATCAAAGCACCTATTCCCAGAACATTTTACAGTTCATCTTCACATGTCCTCAAGCAGTGTGAAAGTGTACTTTGAGAAACTCTGGGAAGAATACTCTACAGAAGAAAAAGAAATGTACCAGGGATCAAAGCTTGGCGATACGTGTTTGTCTACCATTGTTGAATGGGGTCATTCAATGAGTGGAGAGGAATATACAAATTCCACAGTGAGCACGAAGGAGTTCGTCTGTAATTTTTCAGAGAACTTTGCTATGATTGACACGGAGGTTATGTGCTCAAGACCCTCTGACGATGACAGTCATGGCCCAATGTTTATTTCACTCAGACCAGCTTCCCTTTCATCTGGGGACAGGAAGCTTTATCGCTTGGGCGAGACTCTTCGAGAGGCTAACTTGCGGAGGAAGGAGAGACAGAAGGAGAATAAAAGGAAAGGAAGGCCGCCAACTTCTGATCAAGCAGCTTCATCGACTGCAGCGGCATAAGCTCAGAGCGGAGGCTAAATCTTAAATGATGGCTAGGAAGTGAAGATACTTCTGATTACAGTTGATACTTTGCTTCCAGGCTTGACTTTAAGTTGCCAGGCTGAAGTTTTAAGCCTTAGCATGCAGATAAATATAGTTTTACTAAACGGATATTATCTGCAGGTAGGTATGGACAGTTTTACAGAACTGATGATATCTACCACAGCCGCTCTTTTGAAGTGACCTCTAATGGACAACCATTTATGGTTGATGATTAAGTCGTTTTATGAATTTGCAATTGTAGTGCAAGATTTTTGTACATACATTTGCCGGTATCTCCTTCCTTTTTTTGTTTTTGGCTGATTCTTGGTATCAATGTGAGAGAGTCCTTTTGATGCAGTTCAAATTTTTGGTTTAAGTCCTGTGTATGGGAGCGGCCGAGACCACTTTTCGAGAAGAACATTCCTCGGACCGAATAATTTACGCTCCTTGCATTTTGCAAGGCATTTTAATTCATTGCATTTTGCGCGGTCTTGAATTTTTGGTTCTTTCGTTATGCGGGTGTCGTTTACTACTTTTATAGGTCTCTGTGAAAAAGAAGCCGCTTCCCTTTTGAATTTAGAATTTTCTGACAGCTCTGGCTATTTAAGGGCTATTGAGCGCCGGTACAAGGTATCTTCGCCGGTGAACGATACAGTCTCCAGCCGAGATACATTGTCTTTGACTTTGTATTTGAGGTGAGTAAGCTATCGCTCCCTCACTGTATCTAGTATACCTTGAGATTACCTTTTCTATAGTGTGCAACGCACTGGAATTGGTAAGTACAGGGCACCGTAGTTTTCTTTTTAAGCTTACTAGAGCTTGCTGGACTGTTTTAGCCTTGCGGTGGAAAAATAGTGTGCGACATACGCAATAGGCTGGAGTGGACATGAATTTTGTGCCTGCTGAAATGTAGAGGCCTACTTGTACAGGTTCCACTCCAGTGGCCTATCTAGTGTGTCCATGCTTGACTGCCATAAGGCTCAAGAGGATAAGACTCTGCGTAGAAAAAGACACTAGCGGTCTGCACCTCAACCGTGTACGCCCTAGTCACTCTTTCACCCCCCCGCCCCC